AGGCCATCGCTATGAGGTTGGAGGTCACTACTACTAGGAACAAGAAGCTACTAGGAACAAGAAGCAGGTGGAGGCCATCGCTATTGGGCTGGGGGCCACTACTACAAGGAACAAGAAGCTAATAGGTGGAGGCCATCGCTACTAGGTTGGAGGCCGCTACTACAAGGAACAAGAAGCTACTAGGAACAAGAAGCAGGTGGAGGCCATCGCTATTGGGTTGGAGGCCACTACTACTAGGAACAAGAAGCTACTAGGAACAAGAAGCAGGTGGAGGCCATCGCTATTGGGTTGGAGGCCACTACTACAAGGAACAAGAAGCTACTAGGAGCAAGAAGCTACTAGGAACAAGAAACAGGTGGAGGCCATCGCTATTGGGTTGCAGGCCACTACTACAAGGAACAAGAAGCTACTAGGAGCAACGTAAAGACACCGGACACCGTACCAGGTCACCACGTCGTGCTGTTCGGGGCCGTGACGGTCGTGCTGTCGGTGACGCGCTGAGATGCTGAGAGAGAACTGAGAAAGCGCGATGACCTGAGACAAGTCGTTATAAGATGTTATGAAAAGTAAATAAGTCATTAGATGTATTTGTTCATGAAAAGCAAATGAATAGTGCGAGCGAGAGCTTTCTTGGGTCCTATTCGTACCTAGGAGCTTACCTCCGAGCGGGCAAAAATCAAAAAGGAGGTCCTAAAGCCAAAACCAAATCGTTATTAATCATTATAAGTATGTGGAGAGTGGAACTTCAGAGTTTGAAGGGCTTGCCCTAGCAAATCCGCAAAAATCATTTAAGAGACTCCCAATAACGAGAGTTAGCGACTTCAGTCAGGTATGTCCCGGTCGAAATTGGGGAATTGGCACCTGCCTTGGTCTTGAGGAGGAACAGAGAGTATCACAACAGTTGTGTTTGATCTTTGCTGCGCGAGTGCAGGGCGGACACATCCTTGCACTATTTTTCATTGCAGCCGCCCTGGCGGGGGCACTTTTTCACCCGCAGACGCATCCGCCTAACGAAGACGGATTCGCCGCAGCTGTGTATGTTTGATGAACCCCGAAGACACCTAGCGAAGACGGATTCCCCGAAGACGCCCCCAACTCCGAAGACGGATTCCCCCCCGAAGACGCCTAGCGAAGACGGATTCCCCGAAGACGCCCCCAGCTCCGAAGACGGCCCGAAGATGACAGATTCCCTGAAGACATGTCCTGCGCGACCTCGCGCATACAGTGGATTCTATGTATCCACTTGGCAGATTGCTTCGCGCGCCCAAACACAGCAGCGCATCAGCTGTCCTGCCCTGCTCAACGCCAGTGAAGTAGCTGTGGTTTTTGTCCGCTTTGTGGGGTTGCACCAGGTTCCTTACAATCCAGAGAAGGAACAGTTGTCTTTTTTTGGGTGTGTTTTGCTTCTCGCTCTGCAGTTCCATCAAGTCGGCTTGCAAGCTTGCCTGCGTGTGAACAAGTTGGTATGAAGAATCACCTGGGAGCATTGGTGTGAAAGGCGGCGTGTATGCACATGGTTTCTTTATATGCACCACATTTTCTTTTCATGTTAATTGTTTGACGTTATGCAGTACATGGTGACTTGCATAACTCTTTTTTGTTCGCGCTTTCGGTCCAATGATGGTGCGGCGCAACCGTGTGCTGCTGCCGGCGGCGTTTGTGTGTTGGCCGCGGCCTCAGGAACGGAATGTTCATGATTTCGCCGGATTTGGTGGGGCTTGGGGTTTATAGGTTTTGAAATGAAAGTGTATGATGTTACACGGGTGTTTGGACTTGCGATGATCCCCTGCTTTTATTACTTTGGGATTTCCGCAACAACTGAAGAATGCAAATTCTCCGCGCCCTCACACATGGAAACATTTTTTCACAAAAACAACGGTCAATTATGCAGCCAGTGCCTCGTTGTAACCGAGCACAAGGCAAATGTCACGCGCCCCTCGTTTGTGCCAGGTGTTGGTGCCACGTAAGCCACGCAAACGAAAAGTGCTGACACGAAATCTAAACATTGTTGATGCCCATAACTTACTTGGCCGGCGGTTGCCCGAAGTGGACTTATAACCTAGGTTATACATATACCTAACCTAGTTATAACCAACGTTATAAGTCTGCTAACCTCTATAGAAGTTAGGTTTTACTTAGCTTGGACTTGGCTCAGCCTATGAGAGTTAGTAAGTAGTTAGGTTTGACTTAGCTAAGTCAAAGTTAAGTGGGCTAAGACTTAGCTTGGACTTAGATTCGACTTAGCTCAGACTTAGAGGTCCAAGCTAAGTCAAAGCTAAGTCGAGGCTCAAAAATTGAAGCAAAATCAACCCAAAATGCGTCGAACGCAGCCGCCAACCGACAACCAGCCAGCATACGGCCGCGCCGTTATTCTTTGTTACATTCCGCGTCGTGGCCGCTTGTTGATTCTTCTACGGTATCCTATAGAGTACTTGGCGCAAATAGGATGCGTCAAGCAGTCACATGATATAAAATTTTGACATTGTCTTCATCCTGAAATCTTTGAATCATTCACCCCAAAGACTTAAACATTATCGCAATTCTATTTAGACAAGTTTAGAACTTGTCTTCAATATTTTTGACAAATGTCAGAAAATATTCTGACATATATCAAAAACTGACAAATGTCCGAAACATATTCTCACAATTGTCAGAAAAATCTGACACATGTCAGAAAATATTCAGACAATTGTCAGAAGATTCTGACAAAATCTGACAGTATATCCTTTTGAAAGTAAATGTAAACAACAATTTGTCAGAACAATATGACAATATTGCCTTTTGAAACTAAATCCAAGCTAAAATTTGTCAGAAAATTCTGACACATGTCAGAAAATATTTGTGTAAATAGTAAATATTTCTGACATTTGTCAGAAAAAATATTCTGGCCAATGTCAGAAAATTCTTACAGATGTCAGAAATAGTCTGACATTATTATATTGTTTAAAAAGTACATGTCAACAACAATTTGTCAGAAGACTTCTGACAATATATAAGTTTAGTTAAACGGTGATACACTAACTATGACAGTATTAACAGTGTAATTAACCAAAAGCTATTTTTTCAATGTATTAAAAATAGTTTCAAATATGTGATGCCTGTTGATGCTGGCTGTTGATGCTCAGATGATGACTGTTGATGCTCGCGTGAGAGAAAAGTCTACCCGCGCACTCCCAGACCGAGCTTTCGGTTTTCAGTTTTCATTGTTATTTTTCAATAGTTGCCTTAGACTTAGCTTTGACTTAGCTCAAACTGATCAAACAAACTAACACTTAGCTTTGACCTCGCTCGGACTTCTAAGTCTTAGCTAAGTCCAACCTAAGTCCAAGCTAAGTTACCCTGAGCTAAGTCCAAGCTAAGTACTTACTAAGTACTTATAAGTCCAAGTTAGACTTAGCTAAACTTAGCAAAGTCCCGCCGGCCAAGTATACCTTTGTCGCAGGTGTTTTACGCTGTGTGGGTCCTTGGCTTTATAATTTATAATTGAATCATTTGCGGCTTGGCAATTTGCGAACCAGACAAGCCCGGGGGAGGCTGGCTGTGCTCCCACTTGTGCTCCCTTGGTCCTTCATTGGTTCGCCAACATCTCCACGTGTCCGTGACCTTGGCCGCGGTGGTCAAGGAGCGCCTGGAAAAGGTCTAAACGCCAAACGACCTGTCCATGTCTTTTGAAGGTCTTGAACCAAAGATTTGGTTTCATTTGTCCATCCATACATTGGCATCTGTTCATCCTTCAAGTGGCTGTGCAGCTCAATTAATTTGTTTTCTGAGGTGACAATATCCTCAATGGGTATTAAGTTTATCACTAGAAACTGGCCATTTCAGAGATTTTACTGGGCGCCAATTTGCGCGCCCGAGGGATGCAGAGCGTGGCAACATACTGGGGAGGTAAGATGTAAAAGTGTAAAGGAGACACAAGGAATACGAATGAGTACTGTGCCAATGAAACTAGAATATGAAGGCAGTTTTTTCTGGTCAACCCTCATTACTTTGAAAACATTTGAAAGCTAGTATTCTGAAACCCAACATGATGAAGAATGAAGATACACATGTGTAATCACGTAGATTCACAGTGATTGGCAATTGCATCATCAAGAATAGTCACAGTACTGTAAGCATGCTTTGTTTCGGGCGGTAAGGTGGCAACGATCCCTGGCGAAGAGCAAACAACCATTGCTTACCCCAGTTGATTCATAGAAATCTACCGATTTCCACTGGACCCGGAGATGTTGCAATGTTCTGCAGATCTGCTCTCGGCCGTTTCAGTGCTAAGGAGTCGACGAAATCCCTTTTTGCCGATCACTGTAAAAGAGAAATTTGTTGAAGTTTGGTTTGAAGGGGGTAGAGGCTTACAACTTACAACTGTGTTCCTGCTCCTGACAGAAAAGCTAAAACCGAAACGCATTCATATGATCGTGGAATTCCTCGGAATTCATGGCTTCACGGTCCAAACGAAACATTTGACTGTGACTGTTCCGCCATAGCCATAGCCCAGACACATCCAGGCATGCTTTGTTGAGCTTGAAGCCACCACTTGCACAGACGCAGCCAGAGCAAGCTGCTTTATCTGTCCGAACTTGACGCAACGTGAAGCGGAGGTAAAATCATTTGGCCGTGGAACCAGAGCGGCCAGTCATGGTGCTCAAGTCAGACTAACAAGAACAAATCTTGGTTATGAACGGAAGCTAATCTTGGGACGCAATGAAAATCAAATAAAATCTTGGCAAATTTTAACGACGTCACCGACGTCACCCTGAATTAACGACCTAGGTTTGAAATTAAGATCTTGCCTCTTCATTTTAAGTAAGATCGTCCCACTAGCAAGCTAAGCCTCTTTTGGCAGCCTGTTGCTTCAACGGAAAACCCTCACACACAAATCTAAAAGGTTGATGTTTGTTAGAGCATGCCCCTCTTCATTTAAGCAACCACCGTTTTCTCACCGCGCGCGCAAGACACACAAACAAGCACATTGCTGGAAAGACGGTAAGCTTGCCAAGGCTGGGGGTTTGAGCCCGGGCGTTCCGCTTCCGAGGGCCCGTTTCTGACCACTGGGCCGCTCACGCGGGGGCTCGCGAAGGGCCCAATGCAAAGAAGAATTGGCGACGTTGGGTTTCAGAATGATTGCATGGCTCGGGGCCTTCTGGACGCGTTTACCCGGCTTACCGAGCCCCAGTAAGCAAGGAAACTGCGACGAACGGCGCGCAAAGGCAGCCCCATCAAAAAACCCTATTTTGGCAAAATGGGGTTTTGCGACGGCTGGTTGGCTCGGGGCCTCCTGGGCCCGTTTTCCCGGCTTACCGAGCCCCAGTAAGCAAGGAAATTGCTACGATACGAGCAGTTCAAAAAGGTAGCCCCCATCAAAAAAACACCATTTTGGCGAAATGGGGTTTTGCGACGGCTGGTTGGTTCGGGGCCTCCTGGACCCGTTTTCCCGGGCTTACCGAGCCCCAGTATAAGTAAGGAAACTGCGACGAGCAGCTGGAAAAGGTAGGCCTCCTGGACCTGTTTTCCCGGCTTACCGAGCCCCAGTATAGGAAACCGCGACGAGCAGCTCGAAAAGGCAGCCCCCGTCAAAAAACCTTCTTTTGGCTCTGCGACGGTTGGTTGGCTCGAGGCCTCCTTGACGCCTATTCCCGGTTTACCGAGCCCCAGTTGAAAGCCCAAATACCGGATTTTGGAACCACCTCCAAAGCCAAACTCTTGTAACCCACACGACATGAGCGTAGGCTCAACACCCCCCAAGCATTGGAGGGATCGAAAAGAGAATACGCAATGCTGTTCCCAGGCATCCAGTCCACTGCCTGCAGCCGGATCTCTCCCAAGACAGAAGATTCAAACAGCAGCGGCCTCGCCATGCAGGTGCTCACCGCAACGGTCACCCCAACCAAGCCACGTCCACAACTGGGTGCGTGCGCTGGTTGGGGTGCTAGGTCTTCCCGAGGTCACTTAATTTCATATTTCCAACGACGTCACGTAATTTCGTTTCCGATTTAACGAAAATAACCGACGACCCACGAATTTTTTAATTTGCTCAGATAAAATCCAATAAACAGTTGATCCGAGTCACTGTAAACACGGTGAGAATGACGTCAGGAGAGGCCCGGGGTATTTCGAAGCTAATAAAGCACAACACCAACAGATTTCGCGCCTGACGCTGCCGCCAACTTCTAACCCTGGAAACGGCCCCCGGTCGCAAGGGCCATTTCGATTCAAGGATATAATCGCGCAACGTCAATGGGGAACGCAGCCTGACGCGGGGAATGTGGCGTCAATAGCTGGCGTCAGGGAGGTATGCGGCGTCAGACAGGAACGCGGCGTCATGGAATGCGGCGTCAATAGGCGGCGTCAGGGAGGTATGCGGCGTCAGACAGGAACGCGGCGTCAAGGAATGCGGCGTCAATAGGCGGCGTCAGGGGGGTATGTGGCGCCAGACCGGAACGCGGCGTCAAGGAATGCGGCGTCAATAGCCGGCGTCAGGGGGGTATGCGCTGTCAGACCAGGAAGCGGCGTCAGGGAATGCGGCGTCAGGCGGGGAGGCGGCGTCAGTGGGGAAAGGAGCGTCAGGGAATGCGGCGCCAACGAGTTCCCAACACGGCGGCAATAAACGGAGGCAGCGTCAGGCGCAAAAGTGCCCCCACATGGGCGGCCGCCCTGCTATTTTTTGTTAACGCGGAAAAAAAACTATTGGACCATATTGGACCTTGGAAACTCAATCGTTTACTCACATTTGTTGAAGCTTTGGATGTGAGAGGCCTGGAAGGCACATGGCACCAGCAGTGGGTGGATGGATGTCAGAGGCTTGCACCATGACTTTTTTTCACATTCTTGTGCATGGCTTTAGCAGGTGTATAATGCTCACATATGTCAACGTGTAATAGTAACACAGACAGGATTAACTTATGTAAAGAAACAACTAAATGGGCAGAGAGTCTCACAAGTTGCACTAGCCAGGTGGCCGGGGATGACTTTTCGAGAGGCCAGGCTACACAGGGTGCAGGTATGCTGTTGAAGACGTTTTGGCATTATGAGGAGTTTTGTTTGTGTTATGCAGATGTATGTCCAGTGGGTTGACCTTCATTCATGGCCTGCAGATCTTAGAGAATCTAAGGTCCAGAGGCAGAGGAACCCATTTGTCAGCGAGCTTGGTGATGCCTTCTGATAGTGAACTACACTCGGAGCATTTTAGTAACATAAAGTTGAAGATGTTGATGTTGATTAGGAATGCTAAGGCTCTTCAAACTTCCAGAAGTTGTTCCAACTGTTGCACTGCACAAGCAAATAAGAATACTCTGTTCATTCTGATACCGCAGTCAATGCCAATGCAGTCCATTCCATCTAGAATCTAAATACAATAGGTTTTGCAGTTTTTCATCAATTTGGCCCCGAATGGCGAGCAATTCAAGCAAAGAGAGCAAACTTGTTGGTGCCGAACCGAGGAGCAGACGTTTTGGGCTTGAGCGAAAATTTTACTTTGTACATCTTAGTACTAGTAGTAATGCCCTTGTTACTAGTAGCTTCTTACTAGTAGCGATGCCCTTGTTCCTACATCGCGAAAGATCGGACACCGAGATCGGTGCGTACCGCCTTGTACAAAGATCCCAGCTCGTAACTCGCGAGCGAACGGAGGGTGCTGGAAACAGAGAGAACCTCAGAATGAGCGGATCTCTGCGCTTGAAGCGAGCTTGGCTGGCTCAGATTGAAAGAGTAACTCGGCCAAATCAGCGCGTGTTTGACATACCTTGACATGACGTTGCACATGTCTACAAACACTGCCCCATGCCCATTTGCACGGAGATTTGAGATTTGTATACTTGTTATTTTTTTGGGGGGGGTGGAGTAAATGCCTTGATAGGCGTTCTTTTTGACCAGATTTTTGAGTTCGCTCCTCCATATAGTGTTGTACAAGGCTCAATGGGACCAAGATATCGCTGTTGCACAAGCCGATTCATAGATCTGCAGATCTCTATGGCTCTTCGCGAAACGGCATAAGCAGACATGCGGCCACAGTACCCGGCCACTCAGTCACAGGCTCAGTCTGAGTGGTACGGAACTTGACATTGAATTGAAGTGATTTTTGTTTGAAACTTCTGTCTCTGGGGCTTTGGGTAAGCTTGAAAAGGACTTTGTTTGCATTCTCTAGAACCAAGCCGCACGTCCTGGGATGGGCGAGTGGAACAAAATTTGTTAGCATGGGCCGAAACAAACACACTATAAATCTAGGTGAATTGACCCTCTCCTGCATTCTCTTCCTAGCATCCGCATGCTCTCGTCACCATTGATTTCAAGTACAAATTTCCTGGATGTTGTACTCACGCCAGTTTCCGTGCAGTATGTAGTTATTCGTGATAGGTACCATGTACTGGCCGATACGCATACGCTGAAAATTCACTGGGTTGCGAAGCACATTCACATTCTGTAGCAAGCACACAAGTCAGCTCTACATAGCAGATTGTATTGCTTGTGGGCTGAAGAAGAAGCACGCCGTGCCTTGTTGTTGGACACAAAGCACATTGTTGCATTGAATTGTTGCAACAGGCTCCAACCTGTAGAGACACACTATTGTGCTTCACTCACACTCACGTTGCCATGACGGTAGAGATACAAAAAATATTGTAACATACTATAACATATTAATATCTGTAAATATGAGATCAAGACGAAGCCAACTAAACTCCTTCAATGTTGTGTGCAGAAGACATGAAGCATGATCGCAAGCCGATGATTAATTACAGTAACGCTTGAAGGTGAGAACCAGCCTGCCAGGTCTTAGTGTTGCTGCCTTTTTCTCAGGTTTATTTCTGAGCATTGACGAACAGCATTTTGATTCATGATCATTGATGTGTTCCATGCAAATCGCATGTCAGGAGTGGTAGTGACATGGATCAGGCGTTGAATACATCGCTGCAGTCTAGTGCACTCAAACTTGGAGAAACGCCTAAAGGGCTTTCTGCCTTTGAGCACCATGGCGGAGGAAGAAGGAAGCAAAACCTCCTGGAGATGTGTAGCGGGTACATTCTATGCCTTCATCTCGGCAGCTTTCACCATATATTTGGTCGTGACACTCATCACAAGGCCCTTGTTTCCGATTAGGTCAGACTCAGCAGAGTGGTCGTCCTCCTGGTTGCTGCTAGCTGTCCTGGACTACTACCACATGGCTGCCTGCTTTTGCGGTATTGTCATTGCGACAGAGACACGGATAGCTAGCACCATTTGGTGCCTACTGATCCTCCTTCTCGGAGCTCCGTTTGCCACGTTGTACACTGCCAAACAGATTGGGATTGCAAACACCCTGACATTGCGCGAGGACTACGTAGCTGTGACCGCATATTCTGTCCACAAGCCTGAAAAGCCTTTGGCTGGATTTGTTGGATACATTGTAGCTGCCAGCTATGTCCTCATTGGCGGTGGTTTCACGGCCCAGTTGGTCCTGACTATCATACACTATCCTTTGACTAGCCTGGCCACCGATGATGCCGAGTGGGCATACAGCTGGTTTGTCACTACAGTGCTTGACTTCTACACCATAGCAGTTTGCATGATCGGTATCATCTTGTCTACTGATGATATGTGCCCTGGCCTGGCATGGAGCATAGGGATCCTGGTCATCACTGGGCCACCGGGCTCCGCATGGATGGCGCAAAGACTTCTCAGGGGGCGGCCCCTGGCTTTGGAATGACCATGCGGTTTGCTCATCTGACTGTTGTGCTGCATGAGCAGCGAGGCAATTCACTTGCATGGCCTGTGTTTGGCAGGCCTCGGCTTGAGCAGAGGAACCCACATGGAAAACCTGGGGTTTCCGAACACTTGGATAGATCGAGTTTGCCTGACGGAACCACCGTACAGATAGCGTTGATCTTACAATTACAAGATCAATGCATGGGCCAACATTGACGGTTTTCAGCCTCCTTTTGCATTGCGGCTTCTGAGAAAAGTGCCTTGGAGCTTTGGTGCTTTTGCGATGAATACAAAAAACACCAAAGAAAGAGAACTTGGAGGATCTTCTATCGATTTGCGAAGAACCTGCTAGCAGCTAGCAAACCAAAGAGTAGATCGTCTGAATCGTCTGAGGTCAACAGCCACGTCGAGAGCGACCAGATGGCTGGCCGAGTGAAGTTGAGAAGCCGTAAACGGCGATTCCAAGGATGAAGCTGCCGAGCAACTGTACTTGAAGATGGTTCGTCACCCGCCATTGAATTATACTTCTTGACCGCAGCGCCACAAAACGCAATCTAGATCCTATGCACTTTAAACGAAATAGCCTGGAATAGCATAATTGTTCAAACTGAATGCAACAAATATGGCATGAGAAGGTTTGTTCTTGATGCCCCATCCGAAATCATTCTGCACTGGCACCGTGTACGTCTCGTCCAGGGTCACGCATCATTCCAGCAAGCCATGAAAAAACTGATGTGGCCATCGCTATAAATCGACCGGACACGGACGTTTCGAAGCTGCTTTGGATTTGCTTTGGACCTTGGACTGGGAACAGAAGCACAACAAACGACTCGCGAACTGTACCAGACCAAAGTGCGAGGGGGTTCTTCAGCACAAACGGTTTCCTTCAGGATGCTTTTACTTCTTGAAAAGTGTTGTGCCCGACAAGCTTGCTCCCAAACATGCTGCGGGGAAAGTCCCTGTGCCTTGGGCAGAGAGTGTCACTGGGAGACCAGGAGACCTTGATCTGGCGCCTTCAGCGAAGCTTCGGTGGAGTTGTGGCTTTGGGTTCTGG